ATCATAATGCAAATAATTGGCTTTCTTTCTGAAGAACATCTGTTGAAGCATCTGAAAGCAGTTGTTTAGGCTGCTGCCAAAATGCTGAAAATATAATCATTCTCCAATGAGGTTAGAAAATATCCAGGGGTAGAGAAACACGTTTTTATGCAATTCTGTTTTTATTAAATCTTGTTGTTGTTTCTTTAATATGGCACCTAGGAGATGCTCAATAATATGTGCTGAATGAATAACAGAGAGTCATCAAACAGTTGTTGAAGGAACCATTCCTTTGTTTAGGATTTGCAAGGTCAATACCTACCAGAAAATCGTTTGCCCAGCATTTACCACATCATGCACTGCTTCTATTGGACACAAATTGATGGAATGCTACCCTTTCTCTGAATATTATAGAATGTGATGAATGTGTAAATCGGCAAAAGAAATAACTGAATAATGTCTAAAATGTATGAACAACTCTATGTTTCTTGTCATCATTTTGATGAAACCCTGACAATTGAAATGTGAGTTTGCAGAATTATGTTTGTGTCATCCACCACCATCCCCCCTGAATCCTGCGGAGGTCTACAGTTGTGGTGCTCCTAGAACAACCTCATTGAATGTTTGAAAGCACCTACTCTTCCCAGAGGTGGACAAGGTGGCTGCAAAAGAAGAAGGAGCCATTTCACCTCCCCTCCCCTTTCCTGAATTTCCAGCAGTCCTCTCCCACTCTCCTGCACGAGTGAGGCGACTGGGCTCCCTCAAGGCAGCCTACATTTCACTCTGCCAAGTTCCCGAACAGAAAGAGCATGTTAAATAATAAATGTGAGTTTGAGTGTAACTAATAAAATTGGAATGTTAAATAGCAGCATGCTTTTGAAAACCAGCCTCCTTGTGAGGATGCTCCCCGTGCAAGTCCATGGGAAATAATTCTGAAGGGAGTGATATTAATTAGTAATATAATTTATCTCCTGGAAGCCCCTTCCTTTGATGGCAGCCGTGGTACAGTTCATAAGCCTCCAAACGAGCGCTCAAAGAAAATGGTTCAAACCACAATTTCAGCTTTGTTTTTCATCCTTGAGCAGATGAAACGAGTGGAATTTATTCTTGTATATCTAAATTTTACACATGCACCATATGATGGAGAAGTGTGAAGTTATAAAAAAGTATTTATGAAGGATTTTCAATGAAATGCTAAAATGCTTGCGTATTTTGTAATATGAGTAATGTAATAGGAGGAAAAAAGAGCTGAATCCAAAATTAAATTCATGGATGGCCTCTGAGCTCATTCTGCCATAGAAGTTTGCAAACTTGCAACCTTGGCAAGATACTTCCGTTGTGCTGTGCCACAGTTTCCCCCACTATGCTGTGAAAGCAATACTAAAGGCATTCTCAAAAGGATCCAAAGTACTCTGAATCATGTCTGAAAATATTCAATAAACACCATTACCATCACCGTATCATCACAGCAATTTTAAGTTTGTAAAGTGCAAGGTGATGGGGATTCCAGGCCATAGCCAAAATGCCATTAGTATTTTTTCCTTAATTGGGAATGTGTGGGTAATTCTTTTCTGTGTCATTATTCTTTTTCAGTATGCAATCTTTTAGTTTATTTATTTATTTTTAGTATGCAATCATTTATAATAAAGTTAAAAATCAAACTATGCATACATGGCTTGATGGGAATTAAAGTGAAAACTTGGAATAGTTATAATGGATACTATAGATTATCTGCATTATACTGCCCCATTGACCTATAAAGTGCACTGTGTGAGGCAACTATAAAAAGTTCGTGGAAAACTTCCGTTACCTTTTAGTTCCACCTATCCATGAATTGTTAAAAGCCTCCTCCTATAGATAAAATCCAAACCAAGCTCTCTGCCATTGATTGAGTCGATTGCAACTCTTTGCCATCCTGCAGAGAGTATGACAAAATGTACAGACCTGGTGGCACACTGAGTTAAGCTTTAGGCTGCTAACCCAAAGGTTGGCGGTTCAAATACTTCTGGGAGAAAGTTGAGGCTTTCTGCTCCAGTAAAGATTTATTGTCTTGGGGACTCTAAGCAGGTCTGCCCTGTCCTATAGGGTCTCTGGTGTTGGAACTGACTCCATGACAGTGGTATTTTACTTAATTCTCATATTTTGTAACTAGAAAATACTTTTTAAAGTTTCACCAGTGTCAATTTACCGTTCAGGAATGAAATCAAATGTGCATTCTAATCTCAATATTTTGACTGACTAAAAGTAAAAATATTTTATTTTTTAATTTAAAAGCTCCCAGGCAAAAGTCCCAAAGGTGCCTTTCACGGTTAAGCTTTAATTAGCAACCACGTTGGTCCCTGACACATACTGCGCAGATATTGAAGTGGTAATATCAGTGCAGCTTGATTACAAAAGGCAGTGATTAATTTTAAAGCAGACAAAAAAGATATGCCCTGATTACACACAGGAATGATTAAGGTGGAATGTCAGACACTGCACATTTAGAGCAGTCTGAACCACATTCAAAGGGTCAGACTTTGCAGGAGTTTATATTTAGAACCACGGGTCCTTTGTATGGAGCAGGGGGGTGTTGGAGCCCCGGAGCCTGAGCTCAGCTCCCCAGCAGGGCCCTCGGACGCGCGCATCGCTGAAAAGCGCGCCTGCGTAGGTTGGGCCCCACGGGACACCGTAGGGCAGTTCCCCTCCGAGGCCCGGCCCCCCCGGACACCATAGGGCAGTTCCCCTCTGCCAAGGCCCGGCTGAGTCCACGACTGCGGCCTCTGGGGAGGTTTCCTTCGGAGTGTGTTTGGTAAGTGCCTATTTGGCTGAGGGAGCAAGAGCTCTTTGAGCATCTTATCCCCAGAAAAGAGAGGGTGTCGAGGGGAAAAGGCTCCGCGTGGCGAGGGCCTCGAAGCCCACGGCCGCCATATTGGTTTCACTCGGAGACCCGTGAGGGCCGGTGGGGCGCTCTTCTGAGAGGGAAAAAGAGAGTTCCAAGACGGAGGACTGAAGGGAACCAAAGCAGAATAAGATAGAAACAGGTTGGTAGACGCTTAACAGGGGCGGCAGAAGCTTCCAGAAGTAAGGTCTCCCGAGGGCAAGGCGCTGCAAGAAAGAGGAGGGTGATCTGGGTCCTAGCAGGGGTGAAGGTCGAGGTTGAGGATTCAGGGGGTCCCCTTCCAGCTGGATGAGCCCTGCTAGCGCCCCAAGACCCCACCCCAACCCACTCCATTCCCCACCGCCCCTGACTCCATCCCGCTTGGGGCTCCTGCCAGGCGGAGGGAAAGAGGGCCAGGGAATGGAAAGAGGGCCGATCCGGGACTAGTTCTAGATTCTAGAAGGATCCTTCTTTTGTATTGTGCCTTCTAGGATCCGCAGGAGCCTAGGTCCGAGATGGATTTGGAGTCCTTGTTCCAGCAAATCATCTTCTCGGAGCACCAGGCTGAGGAGAGCCGCCGCCTGATGAAAGAAGGTCTGCCTGCGGGCTGGGGCTGGGGCTGGGGCGAGGCCGGTCCTGGTGTTGATGCTGATGCTGAGCTGGGGCTGGGGCCTGAGGCCTGGGCGTGGGTCTGGAGACTGAGCCTGGGCCTGGGCCAGGGGCTGTTGTTGGGGCTGGAGCTGGGGCTGGGGCAGGAGCTGGTGCTGGTGCTGAGCCTGGGGGCTGAGCTTGGGCCTGGGCCTGGGCCTGGGCCCTGGGGACTGGGGACTGGTGCCGGACCTCGGGACTGGGACTGGGACTGGGACTGGGGCTGGGGCTGGGGCTGGGCCAGGGGGTGGGAGCTGAGCCGGGGCCTGGGCCTGGACCTGGGGACAGGCTTGGGATGGAATGGAACGGGCCGGGCCAGGCTGGACCTTTTCTCCAGATGAGCACTTGGAGCAGAAGGAACTCCCCACGCATGGGCAGAGCAATCAGGACAGTTCCTTTTCTACCCTGGAAAACCAAAGCTAAAGTGTGCCTTACCAGTGCCCCCACCACGAGGGTTTTTAGAGAGCTGGATGGGTTTCAGGTTATAAATTGTCTTTACAGTAAGATTGGAAACAATCGGATGTCGGGAAAAAATTAAGAAGGCAACCGAGGAGCTTAATGAAGAGAAAATCAAGTTGGAAGAGAAGGTATTGACCATGGCGAGCATGCTAATTAGCGATGGTAAAGCCTTGTTTAACTTGCCCTCTTCAGGGTGTCTCACTTAAGAGCTAAGTGTCCGGTAAGTTAAGAAGCACAGGCTTCATGTGTGGGTCTCTGGAGTTCTATGTCTGGCAATATTAAAAGGGCTGCATCCAGTAGCACCTTCACTTATAATAGGTACTTGTTCGCGAAATATGTTTATGTGATGAAGTAATTAATGGTGAATTCAAGGCCCCTTTTGGAAAGTAATTAGGATATAAAAAGAGTAATGCCATGGGAAAATAATTGTTGAATAAGTACTAAATTTTAAATAATTTAAGACACATACTATATTGGTGAACCGATGGAAGGTAACTTCCAAATGTATTTCTGCCTTTTGTTTTCTAATTCTCTACCCCCGTTTAGATACTCCGTTCTTCTAAAACGAATCCCTTTTTCTGTTTTCAACTAGCATGTCTCACTTTCCTGCAGCATTTGCAGTATGTTATTTAAGCCCTGGTGGTGTAGTGGTTACCCATTGGGCTGTGATTCACATGGTCAGCAGTTTGAAACCACCTACAGCTCCTTAGGAGAAAGACTGGGCTTTCTCTTTCCATAAACAGACATGGAAACTGGTCTCGGAAACCCACTGGGGCTTCTCTGTGAGTCAGCATTGACTCGATGGCAGTGAGTGAGTGAGTTATTTGAAAGAGAGACCAGAAAAATTGGTGGCTTCTTGAAAGAGGGCTTGGAAGAGTACGGAGAATTTCGGAGAGGCAAAGAGAATGGGAGAAAAGCATTGGCAGTCAGGGGAGGACAGGAACCAAAGGGAGAAGGCAGAAAATGCCTAAGGCATATTGGGAAAGAAGTCTAGTCCTACAGGGCTAATATCAAGGATTAGAGGGAGCCATGGATCAGGGAAGGTGTGATGGACACAGTTTTAGGAAGATCTCTCTTAGCCCGGATGAGGAGGATAGAGGCAGGATGATGAGTTAGGAAACTAAGGGCATCATTTTAAACATCAGTCTTGGCCTGGCTTTGTGGGTGGGGACAGAAATCCATATTTCTCACCTAATGATGGACTAAGCTAGCAGAATATAATGAGAGTCTGTTTGAGAAAATCTGTTTGCTTTAAATAAAAATGTCTTTTTAATTTAACCTCTGGAGACACTCCCTTTTTCTTTGTCAATAAAATAGTCATAGATTCAGTCTCTACCTGGGAAGCATTCCTATGAACACTTTGGGGACAGAATTTAATACAGCATTCAGTGCATTACTTTACAGTTTAATAATATGCACAATTGTGCTTGTGTCTGTTTCTCTTCCTGTTTTGTGAGCAAAATATCTGGAATTAATTTTTTCTCACATTTTTGGATACAGGATACTACTTGCACCCAGTGCCTAGAGCACATAGTCCACATTAATGTTTGCCACGAATGAGCGAGCACCAGTAGTGCTGTAATAGGGACAGGGCCATCTTTAAAAATAGAGAACTGTTATTCAGTGAAGCCTTGAACAGTGCTTCAACTGCTAAGATGAGCACAACATTAACAATAGCATGATGTAGACCTTCCTAGTTCTTAAAAAAAATTAATAAATGCCTTCAAAATTGACAGTTAAGTTGCTAATTCAAGTAGTTGGTGAGACACATGTAATCCAAATTAGATAAGACGTACTCACTATATTCCCTGCTGTGGAGTCCATGCTGACTCATAGGAGTGACCTCATAGGACAGGGCAGAACTGCCCCTGGGAGTTTCTGAGACTGTTACTTTTTACAGGAGTAGAAAGCCCCATCTCTCTCCTGAAGAGCAGCTGGTGGTTAGCAGCCCAACCTGTAAGGTGTCCGTAACGTTTACTGACCACCTACTGTGTGCCTGCCATGAGCCCTCATCATAAGTGAGCTGCCTTTTGTAGGTGAGAAAACAGGAACAGAGAAGTTAAATGAACTTTCCTGGGATATGTACGTTTAAAATGACTGACCTACTATAATGAAAGTAACAATTGATTAATTACAGCTTTTGTTATTGAAACAGTTCTGAATACATCGTAAGCATTTCACTTTGTAAAATTCATATATACGAGGGGGTACCCAAAAAATGGTAAAAAGCATTGTTGGGTAGAACTTTCGTAGAATGCATTTCTCACACTAGTCGAGCATCAAGCAACTAGCTTTGAGTTAGTGCACCCAATGGTGTTGCGTGGGAAGGTTCTGGTAACAGTGAATTTTTTCATAAAAGCAGTTTCCCTCAAACCTCATTTCTTGTAATGGCCGATTTAGAACAGTGTGCAGCTGTGAAATTTTGTCTCCTGGTGCAGAAATTGTTGTGATGTTGAACACAGCTTACAAGGACAGTGTTACGGGAAAAACTCAATTGTATTAGTGACTTTCTTGTTTCAAAAAAGCTGAAATGTTGATTGATGACAAACCTCATTTTGGACATCCATCAACTTCCCGAATGGACTGAAATCCCTGCACTTGAGCTTGAAGACTGACAACCACATTGGACAACTGAAGTGATGGGGAAGTTATCTGGACTATCTTGGAGCTCATTTGGGAATGAGAAGGATTGCTGCCTTGGGTTCCAACTGCCCTGGAAAAAGAACGTTGACTGGAAACATGCCATGCTTTGAAAGAATAGCTCCGAAGCCACCCAGATATTTTATTCAAGGTCGTTACTAGTGATGAGACATGCTGCTATGCTTATAACCCCGAAAGCAAACATCAAGACAGTGTAAGACACCATCGACACCTTTCCCCCCTAAAGCTCATCAAGTGAAATCAAAGATTAAGACGATTCTCATTTGTCTTTTGATGTGAGGGGGATAATGCATTTGGAGTTTGTTCCACCAGGTCAGACTGCCAATCGAGCTTTCTGTTTAGAGGTTCTAAAACAATTGCCTAATGGTGCAACAAAGGCCTGATTTTTGGCAGACAGGGGACTGGTTTTGCCATCATAACAATGCACCTGCTCATGCAGCCATCTCAGTGTGCCAGTTTGGGGCAAGAAACATCATGCCTCTCTTGCCCCACACACCTTACTCACCTGACCTCACTCCATGTGACTTGTTTTTGTTTCTGTGAATGAAGAAGGAAATGAAAGGACAGCGATTTGAGGATGTACATAGAGGAGGTGAAGAAAAAACGAGGTGCTGACAGCCATCCAAACAGATGAGTTTGAAAAATATTTCCAAGAATGGAATCGCAGATTTGACAAATGTATTCAGTATAATGGAAAGTACTTTGAAGGTGAAAAGGTTGTTTAGTTAAAAAAAATCTAAATACATAGCTTTGAAAAACAAATTACGTTTTTTGGGAAGTACCCCCTTATATGTCAAGTATCTGAAATTTTAAATCTAGGGCAATATTTTTTAAAAGGTCAGATGAGTTTTTGTACAAAACTTGTGTTTTCCCTCAGAAGACAGATAACTAATGTGAGTAATGGAAAGGTTTACTCTCTGTAATATTTTATTTGTCAGAGTCTATTTCCTGAAGATGGCAATATAATTTTCTGATCTTTACCTATACTTAAAAAAATGTTGATTCTAGTGTTTGTTCTGGCAAGATGGTGGAGCAAATCCCTAGCAGTGTTTAGAAACATTTGCTGTAAAAACTAATTAATATAGGCTCATAAATGTGCATTGCTTTTTAATCAGCTCATTTATGTAGATAATCATGTAATTGTATTTTCACTAATAAAATTAACATATGATGTTCACAGTTCATAGAATACTAATTAGTAATTGAGATAATTGTGTTTATAATTGTACTTAAAATGATATGTATATGTGTAGATAAAGATTTTAAAAGTGGAACCACAATTACAATGTAAGTGACTAATGGGAAGACCCAAAGAAGTAATCATAAATTGATTTTTGGGTTCTTTTATTCTCAGAGTTAATTATATGTCTGTCAATAACAATGCAAATGTACTTGCTTGAATATTTGACGTGGCATAGATTGACTAATTTATCAAGTGAAATCAGTACAAGAAACAACTAGAACATAATTTTAATAGGGCAGTTCTTGAGCTCTTTATGCACTGATACATTCAGAAAATATTTTGTATATTTATTTTGCAGTTGCTTGTGGTCAAAATATGTATTTAGTAGATACAGTATTCTGTTTTTTTTCTGTTCTGTAAAACCCAGGTAGCATGTAATTAGAACTTGAATGATAGCATTTGCCTTTCAGGGCTCAATGAGTTCTTTAAAATATGTAGGTTGCAAGAGTCTGAGATTATATAGTATGAGCACTTTGTGCATCGGACAGCTGCTGCATACCTGGCCAGGTCCAGTAATATGTGAACAGAAGACAAGCATGCCTAAAATGTTACCTTAAAGCTTACCAGTATTCCAAAAGCTGCCTGTTAGTCAATGAAAGGCATAGATGACAGCGAACCAAAATTAAAGACTTGAAGAATAATCGAAGTTTCTTTTAAGCATCTGAAAGAGGTTCTTCTATTTAGAAATTGGCACCTAGTTCAAAGCTGGACATTTAACCTGGGCGAGCATATTACATATCACCCAGCATGATGCCATATTCCCTCGACAGGAGCTTAAGTGCAGGAAAAGCAAGGCTGTTTTGTGAAGATTTTGTTTATTTTTCCCTCTCCCAATTTTGGTTATGACAGAAACATCTTAATAATAAAAGAATTTTTGTGAATTTTTAAAGGAAAATTATGTTGAAATAGAAAGTAATTGAAGGTTGTTCATTTTACTTCTTTCCCTAAACTTCCAAGTGTCCACATTGCTTTTACTTTTTGGTAAAAGTTAGGAACTCTCCCAGAAGAGCAGGCAAAGTTATATCCTTACATACTCTATTATCTAATAGGGAAAGAACAGTCACACATTATTGTTTATAACATTGAGATGGAAATTTGAAACTCATGTGGGTTTTCCCCCTTCTTTTTTACATTAAACAACAACAAACAATTTTTTTAGAGGCCTCAAATGTGCAAACTAAAATCATAAAAATTCTGAGAAGGCCAGCTTTTAACAGTGGATTA